ACTTGGGGTCATAGTCTCTTGTACCCATCTCTTATCAGCCAGGTAAGTTCTTTTTTAAAATGATGTTGAATACTTTGGTGTTGTTGTATTATTCTAGAGCTACTAAATGTTCATTGTAGAAAATAAAGAAATGTCTTAGGAAGAAAAAAATAAAACCAGCCATATTGTTAACCCCTTGAGATGCTAGCACTGTGAACAGTTCAGTGTATTCTCTTTACGTAAGCATTTAAGAGAATAGAAGAAATGCCTGTCTTTTCAAAGGTAGGGCTGTTGGGCTGGCCACTGCCAGGTTGGCCGTTCAAACCTACCAACTACTCAGAGGGAGAAAGATGAGGCTGTCTGTTCCCATAAAGATTTGCAGTCGCGAAAATGCTAAGGAATAATTCAAATTAATCAAATCGGGATCACAGCCTACATAATGTTTTTAATCTACTTTTTTTTTTCATTCATTGAGTACCCTTTTCTTAAATATTTTTGAAGGATGTGGGCTTTCTTGGCTGCCAGATCCTGCTGCCCTCAGGTGCCACACCATGCCGACCAGTGCCCTGGGTATTCAGGCTGTGCCCGGTTCTTGTATCACAGACTAGGTAGCAGTGGTAGCTTCATTCCACACTTGCAGACACCAGTGCAGGTGAGGGTAGCCTGCCAAGGTCACAGAGCAGGTGCTGACTGCAGTCTCCCCAGCTGCCTCTCCCTGGTGTTGGGACATGGGACATAGGACATAGGTGCAGTGCAAGATCGTTAGTGACAGTTGGCTCCTAACATGTTTGTTTGTCGGGGAGAAAAGAGCAGGTGGGGGCTAGGCACGGATTCCCAGCAAGACACTGTTCTAGATGGCTTGGGAATGCCCCCCAGCACCAGGGCTCACCTGCTCCCTGCAGCAGGACCCGCCTGCGCACACGAGGCAGTGGGGCAACCAGGTCCCAGGGGCACGTGTCCAGGGCAGAGGGCAGAAGCTATGAGAGCACCCGGAGAGGCTGTCGTGGGAGGAGGCAGGTGGGCTGCAGGCTCGGGCAGGGCAGCCACCCTGGCTCTGGCTTTCTGTGGCGCCCACCTGAAAGGAAGCTTGGGGATGCACAGGTGCTGGGGGGCATCCCCACCAGCAGCACTCAGCCCATCCGGATGGATGCCTGGCTCTGCTCCCCTGCCTCACCCCTTGTTTGCCCCCTCCTTGGCTTCAGCTCACTTCTGAGAGGGCTGAGAAAGATTCCCTGAGGTCATTGAATTTTGGCCCCTTTTGCTTGAGACTTTTCAACTTTGACCTTTCTCTGCTTTGCTCTGACAGGCTACCATTGGGATTGACTTTTTGTCAAAAACTATGTACTTGGAGGATCGCACGGTGAGTGTCGGCATCAGATCCACAGGACCGTGTGGGTGGCGGGAGCCCTTTGTGCTGATCACCTGGGACCCGGGCGAGCCCGTGCCAGCGTTGGCACAGCCTGGGCCTCCCCAGCCCCACGTGGGGTCTCTCGGCCTCACTTGACTGCTCTGCCCTCCCTGCGACAGGTGCGGCTGCAGCTCTGGGACACAGCCGGCCAGGAGCGGTTCCGCAGCCTGATCCCCAGCTACATCCGGGACTCCACAGTGGCCGTGGTGGTGTACGACATCACAAGTGAGCGCCGGTCCAGGGTACCCAGAAAGGGTGTGTGCAGGGGCCCAGGGCCTGGGAGCAAGGGCAGTGAGTCAGACACTCACTGGGCACCCTCTCACTGCAGGCCCGGCGCAGCTTCTGACTGAGCAGAAGCCCCCCTGGAAATGGCCCTGCCTCTCCTGGGCCCCCTTTCCTCTCTCCAGCCGGTCCTGCGCTCCCTAAGTCAGACTTGACCGAGGCTTGGATGGGGAAGCAGGCCCTTCTGGGGTCCTCTGCTCTCTCTACCACCCCACCCCTGTGTCCCCATTTCTCTCTCTGCTCTGGGCCCTAAGTCAGGCTTTACTTTGAGGTGTGACCCCTGGGTCACTGGCTCCTGTCTCAGACACAGCTCAAGGACTACGCATGTGGAGGGACCCCTCTCTCGTGCAGGTGGCTCAGCCCTGTCCGGGCCTCTTCAAGGGCCTAGGGCAGCCCCACCAACACCCTTGGGCTTCCTCCAGAGCCCCAGGCCCCATGATCTGTGCAGGCTTGCCTCAGCCCCTCCCTCTGGCTCCCGGGCCCCCTTTCTGCCCCCTGTCGGCTGACTCTGCTCTCGCTCTTCAGATCTCAACTCCTTCCAGCAGACCTCTAAGTGGATCGACGATGTCCGGACAGAGAGGGGCAGTGACGTTATCATCATGCTGGTGGGCAACAAGACCGATCTGGCGGACAAGAGGTGAGCACGGGGCAGGGACCTGGGTGGTGAGCCTGTCCCCTGCCTGGGGAAGGCCCTTGACCTACACTGGGGTCTGTGAGACCACTTGGGGGAGTGCCCCACCCTGGTGGGCACTCTGAAGCCTTTGCCTTTCACCACCAGGCAGAGCCAGGGGCAGGTGCCCAGGCATTGGCCTCTGCCCAGGCACAAGTGTGCCCACTAGTGGGGGTGGGGGAGGGGTGGGTGGATGAGCCTCCCAAGCCCCAGCAGAATTGACCATGCAGAATTTCTGTCGAGCATGAACCTGCTTCCATGCCCCCCCCCCCTTGCTTCATTCCTGTGTCTGTCTGAGCACCAGGCTTCCTGGGCAGTGACTAGACCGTCCCTCCCTTCCCAGAAAGCTAGTTGACATTCCCTGTATGCACGCCTGCCCTTGGAAGGAGAAAATGGTGGAACATGGGGCACTAATGAAGGTTGTCATTCCAACCCACCCAGAGGCTCCTTGGAGTGAAGGCCTGGCCACCTGCCTCTGCAGGGTCGCAGCCACGGCAGCCCTGAAGCACAGCTCTCTAACTCACGCGCATGGGGCCCCGTGGCAGGGTTGGCCAAAGCCTGCGAGCTGGCTGGCCCCCTCATCTCCCGTGACTCTGACATGGGCAGACAAGGAGATGGGTCACCCATTCCAGCCAGACAGGGTGGGCCTCCTGAGATCCACTCTGACCATTTCAGGGATAGTGCGAACTGCACCCTGCACCCAGGGCCCCTTCAGTAAGCAGCTTGTGGTCTCAGGAAGTCACCCTTAACCTGGGCTCTCGTTGGGAAAATGGGACTGAGGATGTCAGGGTCTTGAAGCGCTTTTTGACCCGCGATCCGACGTGCCCCAGGAGCTTAGTGGTCAGGTGCTCAGCTGTGAACCAAAAGGTTGGCACTGGGAGCATGCGTGGCGGCTCCCGTGAAGGACACGGCCTGCAGTGTCACATGGGCCACCGTGGAGTTTGACCAGCACTGACCCTTGTCACACTGTTGACAGGTGGGCAAGACAGGTCAGGCACAGGCCCAGCCACACCACCGCCCACCACCACCACCACCACCGGACCTGCTCCCACGCTAGGCAGGTGGTAAAGAGGGCTCCAGGAAGAGTCAGTGTCCTGTGAGTCCCCTTTGTCCTGGAGAGCCTGTGCTTGGAAACTTGGGGCCAACCCTCCTACCAGAGCCTGTCCTCAGGGTTGTCTGGGGGGCAGGTCTCCGTCTGCCCTGCTGGGCAGACCCTTCCTAGGACTTACCCTCTGCTGAACTCCCTCTTCACCCCCCACTCCCACCGACCCCCTCCCCACAGGCAGATCACCATCGAGGAAGGGGAGCAGCGTGCTAAAGAGCTGAGCGTCATGTTCATTGAAACCAGTGCAAAGACCGGCTACAACGTGAAGCAGGTGGGACACCGGCCCAGCCCAGCTTGACTGGAGGGTCCTAAGCCTTATCAGCCACAGTCTGGGCTCGGAGCCACCATAAAGCCACCCAGAGGGGGGGTCCAGCTGACGATGCATGTAGGAGGGAGTCGGACAGGCCCTGAAAGGGGCCCCTGACTCATGTTGGCTGATAGCCACTGCACACAGCCCCTGGTGAAACGGCCCGAGGAGCGTGTTGCCCGAGGAGCCAGCCACAGACAGCCTGTGGTGGAGAGAAGCCAGGGTTCTCCAGATCCCGACCCTAGCTTCAGGCCAGGGGTGCAGGAGATGGAATGCTGCCAGCATCCTGGCAAGCAGGCAGGCCCACGCCTTGTCTGGGCCAGCCGGGCATCCTGGGCTGTGGAGGTGAGTGAGGCAGGCGTAAGGGAGACTCTCATCCTAGTCCAGAGGCCGTAGAGGAGGCTGAGCCTCAGCCCAGGGAGCCCTGGGACAGAATGCAGTGGCCCAGCAGGCCTGGGCTGGGGAAAGTGCCCGCTCTCTCTTCACTGGCCTCTAGCATGTTCTCCCATCATGAGCGTAGGCAGCTGGCCTCTGTGATGTTCGCGGCACCCAGGCCCACATCACTGGTTTTCTTTTGTTTTGAGGCCAGAATTTTCTTGATACTTCTCACTGTCACGGAGTGGATTCTGATTCATAGCCACCCAATAGGACAGAGTAGAACTGCCCTGCAGGTTTCCTTCTTTCTTTCTTTCTTTTAAAAAAAATCATTTTATTGGGGGCTCATACAGCTCTTATCACAATCCATATATACATCCATTGTGTCAAGCACATTTGTACATTGGTTGCCATCATCATTTTCAAAACATTTTCTTTCTACTTAAACCCTAGGTATCAGTTCTTCATTTTCCCCCTCCCTCCTCCACCCTTCCTTCCTCACAAACCCTTCATAATTTATAAATTGTTATTATTATTTCATGTTTTACACTGACCGATGTCTCCCTTTACTCACTTTTCTGTTGTCCATCCCCCAGGAAGGGGCTTATATGTAAATTATATGTAAATCATTGTGATCAGTTCCCCCTTTCTCTTCCACCTTCCCTTTACCCTCCTGGTAACTCTACTCTCATTATTGGTTCTGAGGGGTTTATCTGTCCTGGATTCCCTGTGTGCAGCGCTTATCTGTACCAGTGTACTTGGTCTGGTCTGGTCTGGTCT